GGCTTCAAATTTAAATTTATTATTAAATGAATGAGACGAGGAAATATCTAGAACCAAACATGTGACTTGACCCATAAAAAAGGATTTGATGTTGCAAAACTGAATATACGAACTACGCGTTCAATTCACATAGTGATATGAATTATAGATTCTTGTTCTATTCAGATTATTTGACTTGTCTTAATGAAAATAACGATGTTTCAAAACTAGCACGAATAGATATGTATTATAAGAGCAACTATTTAGCATTTGCTTCAACTGTCAACCTTATCATGTTGTCTACCTGAGGGCGAGGGAGGGGAGGGGAGGGACTAAGAAAAAGTGTAAAGAACACGTCTATCGCTGTATTTTTCTCCCAAGAATTAATTTGATGACATAATTTCGAGAATTTGTTGATAAAGAAGACAAATCGAGGGATGGCTGCCTTGATTAAATCATGGATCTCGACCTTAAGACTCAAGAAGCTCCTCAAATCACAATGAAAATAACGACATGGTCATCTATTTAACAGAATTTAGAATTGAAATTTGCTTGATTAATTGACAGGACTTACTTTTATCAAAAACCGTGATGCATCATTATCTTTTTATATATAGATAACATGTCATATCTTAAGGAGGTAAATTGAATCAATTCATGTTTTCTAAATATCTATTCATGTAATGTCTCGCTTGTTATATCCCATTAGTGTAACAAGTTTTCTTAGCCATGGTGATGTTCCAAAGAGAGAGGCTCATTTATGAAGTTTTTGATGAACAAGCAGCATCGTAAAGTTAATTTCAAATGGAGGATCGATGTAATGTCACTAATTACTTAGTAAAAAATGTATTACCGTATTGTCATGTGAAGTAATTTCGGGATTCTTGCTTCGTGTTACTTGGCACCTGGTCATGTTTTTGTCAAAAAGCAGCGAATTTAAAATAAATAAATAAATAGATGAGAGGCCCGCCAATAAATCGAGACCTCATTTCAGACCAGAAAAAGTTGGAAAAAGAGAAAAGTGTTGACTAGATCTGGTCAATCTATTGCCATTTCTGTCCCTCTGGGTAAATTCTTTATGGTTCTTTAACACTGCATTCTGCATCCATGTGGCTGCAAATGGCTCTCACATGCAAGTCAGTCGTTTGGTTGCTTCTCTACCTCTGGTTTGTCTATTCTTGATGCACACTTAAATTCTTTAAATTCCCCAGATTTGCTCTCCCTACAGAATCTGCTCGTATATGGATCTTACTACTTCTTAAATATGGACCTTATATGCAAATAGGACTACCTTCAATACGTCTTCTTGATTATCATTGTTATTTTGCCACTCTTGATGAGCCTCGATCCTATTGAGAGGCTCAATCCAACACTCATTGGCAGAAGCTAATGCTTGAGGAGCTGCAAGCTTTAGAAAGGACTCGTACGTATGATTTGATTGATCTTCCACCTGGGAAAATTAGCGAGTGGGTTTATTAAGTTAAGACTCACTCTAATGATTCCATGTAGCAGTATTAGGCTTGCTTGGTAGCCAACGGTTTTAAGCAAGATTATGACATTGACCATTAGGACAATTTTGAACCAATTGCTCGACTTACGTTTGTAAACACTTTTTTTTTTTTTTGCTAGAAATACATCTGTTAACACTCTAATGGTTTCTTATATTGATGTTTTTCAAGAATGGACAAAGTGCATTGAAATATTTTACGTGCCAGTTACGATGACATGCATAGTACACGGGCCATGTGGATTGGCCGATTACAACACATCAATCGTAGTAGAGTGGTAGTTTAATCTTTTACTTTAAGAATTTTTGTCTAAAGACAAACATTGCTTCAAATATCATAAAATTGGAAATGTATTACATACAGATACAAAATTAGAGGAGATTCTGAATTTTCTCTAATATGATTAAAATTAAGAGAAGCTCAAAAACCATCTTGGTGTTCTATTAAAGCTTTGAAATTTTTTTATTTTGTGCCGTGATTTTGTAGCTTTGTTATTAGGCTTCAAATTTTAAATTCGTCATTAAAAGAACGGGATGAGGAAACATCTAGAACCAAAGGCGTGACTTGATTTAAAGAAGAGATTGTGACCCATAAAAAAGGATTTGATGTTGCAAAATTGAATATACACAACTACACGTTCAATTCACATATTGATATGGATTTTAGGTTCTTGTTCTATTAAGATTATTTGACTTGTTTTAATGAAAATATCAACGTCTCAAAACTCACATGAATAGATATGCATTATAAGTGCAACTATTTTGCGTTTGCTTCTAGGAAGCACGGACACTCTCCGGGGGCCTCCGTGTCGTGTCGGACGCGTGTCGGACTTGTCAGACATTGACACTTGTCCGACACTCTTTTTTATTTATTTATTTATTTGTAGATTTGAATCAAATTAATTTAATTGAAATAATAATAAAAATGATAATTTATTATGAAAATATACATTTAATATACAACGTGTCGAATTTCTCTATTTTTTAAGAAATGACGTGTCGGCGTGTCGTGTCATGTCGTGTCGCGTGTCGATGCTACTTAGGTTTGCTTCAATTGTCAACCTTGTCATGTCGTTTGCCTAAGGGTGAGGGAGGGGGGAGACTAATAAAAAGGGTAAAGAACACGTCTAATGCTGTGTTTTTCTCCCAAGAAATCATTGGATGACAGATTTTCAAGAATTTGTTGATTAAGAAGACAAATCGATGGATAGCCGCCTCGATTGAATCAAGGATCTCGACCTTAAAACTCGAAAATCTCATGTCACAATGAAAATAACAACAGGATCATTTGTTTAACAGAATTTAGAATTGAAATTTGCTCGATTAATTGACACGACTGACTTAATCAAAAACCGCGACGCATCATTATCTTTTTATATATAGATAACATGTCATATCTCAAGGAGGTAAATTGAATCAATCCATGCTTTCTAAATATCTATTCTATTAGTTTCTCTAGTGTTATATCCCAATAATGTAAGATTTTTCTTATCCATGGTAATGGTCGAAAGAGAGAGACCCATTTATGAAGTTTTTGATAAACAATATGCATCATAAAGTTCATTTCAAATGGAGGATCGATGTAATGTCACTAAGTAAATTAGTCAGAAATGTATTATCGTATTGTCATGTGAAGTATATCGGGGTTCTCGCTTCGTGTTGCTCGGCACATGGTCATGTTTTCGTCAAAAAGCAACAAAGTCAAAATGAATATATAAATAGATGAGAGGCCAGCCCATCACCCCACCTCGGTAATCCCAGTTTTAAAAATTCGAGATGTTTGCGATTATATCGAGACCTCATTTCAGACCAGAAAAAGTGGGAAAAAGAGAAAGTGTTGGGTCAATCTACAGCCTTTTCTGTCCCTCTGGGTCATTCTTTATGGTTCTTTATTATTGCATCCTGCATCCATGAATGGCTCTCACATGCAAGTCAGTCAGTCATGTTGGTTCCGTCTCTACCTCTAGTTTGTCTCTTCTCTATGTATCCTTAATTCCTCGCCGGTGTCTCTCTATCTCTCTTTCGGGATAAGTAAAGCGCAAGTGTCATAACTTTTGTACGGAGGACATTTGAGTGCCATAACTTTTTTTTAGCTTACTTGAGTGCCATAACTTTCAAAAAAATGATCACTCAAGTGCCACTTACGAACTGATCGTGAGGGTCCGAAACCGCGGCTTTTCCGTCCGAACGGTGACCTTCCCGGCAAGGCGAGCACCACCAGCTTGAAGAGGGGGTGTCGGTGAATCATTCCATGGTCTCCGTTCGTTTCGAAATTTCCGTTTTAGCCTCCGTTGACGAAGGTAAAAATGCTTCGTAGTCACACAAATCGGCTCGATAAATGTGTGACTATGAAGCATTTTTACCTCATCAACCAAGGCTAAAACGGAAATTTCGAGATGAACGGAGGCCATGGAATGATTCACCGACACCCCCTCTTCAAGCTGGTGGTGCTAGCTTCACCGGGAAGGTCACCGTTTGGCCGGAAAAGCCGCGGTTTTGGGCCCTTACGACCAGCTCGTAAGTGGCACTTGAGTGATCATTTTTTTGAAAGTTATGGCACTCAAGTGAGCCAAAAAAAAGTTATGGCACTTAAGTATCCTCCGTACAAAAGTTATGGTACTTGCGCTGTACTTACCCCCTCTCTCTCTCTTTCTTTCTGTTGAGTGGGTTTTGTAGGCTTTTGCCTTCTCCCCTTCTTTGGTAGGAAGAAAAGGACAGGAAAATGCAACGAAGCAATAGTAGAAGACTTTGGTTTGCTTGCTTTCTCGTGTTACCCGCTGTGAAGTAGATTAGCTAACAACGATGATTTGGGACTTAGTGTGCTTTCCAGACAATTAACCAATCGGGATTAATTTAAATTTGATAATTCATTGCCTCCTCTCATTATATTCTTTTGAAATTTTAATTTAAAATTTAAGATAAAAGAGTTACAATTTTAAAATTTGGAATAAAATATATTAAGCTACTCACGGTTAGATCATAATTAATAAAATAGTTTGTATTGAGAATTTTGCAAATCAATCCATTTTGCAAATCAAAAACATATTGTTCATAGCACTCTACATTCACTCCGTTACTAAATCTGATTATCTAGGCTGTTTCACAGCTTAATTTCTAAACTCAAGTTGGTTTTATTTTGAATGGGATACTAGATATATTTGAGTTGATTTTGTGTAATCTTGGTTGATACGTTCCTCAATTTGTCAAATCTCCATATATCCGGAACGTTCCTCTATATACTATAAAGTATTATTTGAAAAGGTAAGGCATACTCAAGCATTCAAAGTTTGTCACGTTATTATATAACTAAGTAATAATGTGAATGATTGTTTTCAGTCTCTTATATTATTTAGCTGTTTTTATTGGTAACACCGGCACTTCATAAAGTGATGTTAATATTATGACACATATATGATAATTTTAATTTTAAATTTGTTATTAAATGAATGGGACCCGGAAACTTCTAGGATGACAACCCATTGATCGATCCACGGAAACTTTTAGGAAACTTCTCGGAAACTTCTCGGATGACTCTTGGAAAGTTTTCCCCTACCCCATGACGCCAGAGACCGAGAGAGCTTATTATATTGACAGCCCTCGCTCAGATCCAAGCACACCCAAAGCAAACTTCCCTGAGAGATAGAAAGGATTTGATATCTTTGGTGTTTAGAGATCCTACAATGGAGAAAGGGACGCATTCACGGGCATCATCCGGACCTTCATATGAGGTTTTTCTGAGTTTTCGAGGAGCAGATACTCGTCATGGATTCACCGATCATCTTTACCATGGCATGGTTGATGCCGGGATCATCGTCTTTAGGGACAGTGAATCCCTCCATGTCGGTAAGCAAATTGGTGGTGAACTTCTACAAGCAATTGAGAACTCCAAGATCTACATTCCCATATTCTCGGAGAATTATGCGTCGAGTGACTGGTGCCTCCGAGAGCTCGCATGCATGGTCGAGTGCACCTTGAAATCGAATGGGAAGAAAGAGATTCTGCCGATTTTCTTGGATGTGGAACCTGCCGATGTCAAGCTGAAAACAAACCTGTACAGACAAACTCTTTCAAAGCGCCAGAAGACGTGGTGCACTGAAGCAGAGTCATGGGAAAAGGCTCTCATTGAGGTGGGCAAGATAAAGGGATGGAACTGGCAAAAAGATCAAGGGTAAATGTCTTAAAACTTTTCAACTGTCATATGTAGATTTCGTTTTCCTCCCTATTCAGTATAATTGTGGTATTGTTGGTGAAATTATAGTCTATTCATCTAGTCGATTCTATTTAGTTCAAATAGCAGTCGCGACCGCTGCCGCTACCGCTACCCGCCGCTATGGCGGCGAGAAAAGAATTCTTACCGGCAGTGGCGGTATCACTGCAATAGCTCTGGTCAATCGCACTATTGCGGTGGTAGCGCACGCCATTTATCCAGATTATGTCTCTCCTCTTACTCTCAGTCTCCGACACAGTAGCCACGATCAGTAACAGTTCTCCGAGCAGCTCCACCAAGCTGCTGGCCAGCCACCGCAGAAGCTCGTCCGTTAGTCGCTGCCACTTCTTTATCGCCACCCCGACACCAAGCTGCAAGAAGCCTCCTCTGAGCCATCCGACCCCCACCCTTTCGCTCTCTCACTCACTGAGGCGAGTCGGATCCGGGTTTTGGACGTCTGGTCTAATGCCACCGAGCCCATATCCAGCGTTGCTGACCTTGGGCGACCCCAAATCTGGTGTCGCCCAAGGCCGATGACATCATCCCCGGTAGTCGCAAGGCCATGACCCATGAGATGTGGAGGATTGAGGCAAGGTCGAGAAGGCGACGGTGATGGCCCAGGGAGGCAAGCGACGTCAACGGGGGCGTGGCAGTGGCAGGGGCCGATGGTGTGGTGACTGAAATTTGGGGGAGCGGAGATAGATTGGGAAAAATATATATTGTTTTGGCGTATAGATTGTTTTGCGTACTTTCTGCAAATTGTAGGGGCAATTGAGTCACTTAGGGAGTAGTTTTACAACATAAAATTTATCCCTAACATGGTTGTTATGTCATGGCAGCCAAGTAGATTTGATACAATCTGTAAAGCAAGCTGTGTTGACTAAGCTGAACATCGGATTTAAAAAAATTGTGACAGAACATGTAGTTGGAGTTGATGATCGTGTAGAAGCTATGATCAAAATGTTGCATGTGGAATCCGATAGCATACAATTCCTCGGAATCCACGGAATGGGCGGGATTGGCAAAACAACACTTGCCAAGATGATCTACAACCAATTGTCTTCTCACTTCCAAGGCTGCAATTTCCTTTCCGACATCGGAGAGTCATCACGACGTCATGGTCTGGTACATTTGCAAAAACAGTTACTATCCAAGTTCCTCAAATCTCATTCTAACCTCGACCAAATTCACGACGTGGATGATGGGATCGACATGATTAAGAGAGTACTTTGCAATAAAAAAGTTCTCATTGTTCTTGACGACGTGGATGAGAAAGAGCAACTCAAAAGATTAGCAGAAAAGGGCAATTGGTTTGGTTCCGGTAGTAGAATTATCATAACTACTAGGGACCAAAGTGTCCTAATGATTGAGGGAGAAGCAACAGATGAAGGCCCTGTAAAAGAGTTTGCAAATGTTTGGACTTACGAAGCACATGCAATGGAATTTGATCATGCTCTTAAGCTTTTTAGTAGGCATGCTTTTAGAAGAGACTCTCCACCAGACCATTATGTCTCCCTTTCAAAAGCAATTGTCTCTACTTTGGGAAAGCTTCCTTTGGCTCTTGAGATTACAGGTTCATCCCTTAGCGGTAAATCCGAAAAAATATGGGTAGACACATTGAAGAAGCTAGAAGAAGCTCCTCCCATGGGAGTCCAAAAAAAATTGATGGTATCTTATGAAAGGTTAGATCATGCACAAAAGCAAGTATTTCTGGATATAGCTTGTTTTTTTGTTGGTCAGGACAAAACATACCCTTTGTACATGTGGGATGAATGTGGATATCACCCCCACGATTCCCTTGAAGTCCTCTCTCTCATGTCCTTGATAAAAATCAAAGACAACAATACTTTATGGATGCATGATCAAGTGCGGGACCTCGGAAGGGAGATTGTCCGTCAAGAGAATTTCAACAATCCCCGCAAGCGTAGTAGAGTGTGGAATCATATGGAAGCCTTGAGCATTCTGCAGCTGAAAGAGGTATAATAAGGGAAGAGCAATTTATTTTCCTATGAATTGTTGCATACTATTCTTGCAAAAGGAAAAATTAATCGTTGTTAGCGCTTAAAATTATTTGCTGTTGACCTTCACATGTGGACTTCTTGGTATTTCCATTGTCAGGGAAGTCGGAAAATAGAAGCACTGTCTGCAAGATATCATGGAAATGAAGACGTTATTCTAAAGCATGATGAATTTGCTAATTTGCGGAACCTGAGGTTCTTTCGGGGGGATATGGTGTTATTTGTTGGAGACTTCAATAATCTTCTCTTGAATTTAAGATGGATTTCTTGGCAAAGTTGCCCTCCCAAGTTTGAGGCAACAAACTTTCATCTGACTAATTTAGTCGTTCTTGACCTTTCACGGAGCCATATTTATGAGGAATGGATTGGCTGGAACCAAATCAAAGTATGATTTGAGTCCTACTCCTTGCATACGCATATCGTTTCTTTTGCCATTTTTTTTCTTACAAGTCGTTTTTCATTATATATCGATCCAATTGTTTTGCAGGAGGCCAGAAAACTAAAAGTACTAGATCTCAGCTACTGCTACTACTTAAGGAGAACACCTGATTTATCTATGTGGGTATCCTTGGAGAGACTGGTTTTTAAATATTGTTCCAACTTAATTGAAATTAACTCGTCCATTGGTAAATTAAAGCTCCTAACTTCTTTGAACTTGGGGGGATGTCAGTCTCTTCGAGAGTTGCCTAAAGAAATAGGAAGTCTACAAGCTTTGACAGAGATTGTCATGCCTGATACGCTACATGAACTTCCGGAGACGTTTGGTAATTTGCAGTCACTGTTGACCCTTGATGTATCATATAGGCAGATCAACAAATTGACATACTCGATTGGAGGGCTGGTGAAACTTACGCGGTTGGATTTATCTAGCATATACATAAAGGAACTTCCAGATTCGATTGGGAAATTACAATCATTAGTTGAGTTGGATATGTCACGGACGAGAATTTGTCACCTACCTGATTCAATCGGCAATCTAAAGCAACTGAAGGTACTAAGGATGAGAGGCATAAGAAGGATAACCAAATTGCCAAGTGCGATTGGGCTGGTGGAGAAGCTCGAAGAGCTGGATGCTCGCGGATGTTGCAACTTGACCGGTGAAATCCCCGAAGAAATTGGGAGATTGTCCCGTTTGAGGATCCTAGACTTGTCAACCACACGTATATCCGGATTACCCACCACGGTGAGTCACCTCTCTAATCTCCAAATACTTAAGCTAGATGAATGTCCCGAGCTGAAACAATTGCCGAAGCTTCCCCCAAGTTTGACTTGGCTGATATGGAACCCTCATTATTTCCGGTGTCCCCCCTGGACAGCCGGCTTCGGTCCCACTAGAATTGGTGCCCCATCTCAACAGGGAACACTAGTCACCACTCTTCCCACTAGCATCGGTACCCTATCTCAGCTTAAATCACTATCATTGTCCTGCAAAAACTTGCAATTCCTCCCCCGGCTCCCGTCTAGTTTAAGAGAGTTACGACTTCGAGATATGGTGACCACACGATCACCGGATTTTTCCAATTTGAAAAACTTGTCAATCTTGAAATTCTATCAATGTTCGCTAAAACTCTCGAGTATATTTGATGCGGAGTCGGAGGAACTCCATTTGAAGCACTGTAAGCTTATAAAACTGGACTCACCGTCGCAGCCGAAAATGAAAAGATTGAGATTATTAGAGATGGCTGCTTGTGAGTTCCTTCCAGAAGTACTTGATCTGTCGCGCATGAAGAATCTATGCGAGGTAAGTCTGACACGTTGCCATTCATTAGTCGAGATTCGTGGCCTTGAAGAATTGGGATCCCTTTGCTCCCTATCAGTCGATGAATGCCCTTCCCTGGAGAGGATGTCAGACCTATCGAAATTGAAAAAGCTACGGAAGCTCGTGGTAAAATATTGTCGTAATCTAAAAAGAGTGCAAGGTCTAAACCACTTGGGGCCTTTAAAGACGCGGAGTATCTATGGTAATGGAGAGTTTGGAGGTGATACCTCAAACGTTGCCGCCGCGTCCGCCGTCACACAAAGAATTCCCATTGGCGGCTCCGATTCCTAGATCCACTGCATTCTTCGGCGGGTCGCCGCGGTCTCCACCCCTGCTTCCGCCTCCGCCATCGCCTCTAGGAGCCCCATCGGTGCTGGTTGGAATATTGCAACATCAAGTTTCGCGCCATAACTTGCAACCGGTAATTCTAAAATTGCACACCAAATGCTTGCGCAATTGCCTCTTTCCCTGTTCGAATCTGGATATGAAGTTTTGTTACGGTGGTTTGATGGGTGAAGTTTATGGTGTTGGGCTAAATGTGCATACTGTGTGAATGGACATCTTAGTTTTGATTTGATTTGATTTGATGTGCAGACGGTGGTAAAAACCCCACATTTCAAGAGAAGTTTGTGTTCACGCTCGTTGAAGGGCAGAGGGCGTTGAATCTTGCGGTGTGGAACAGCAACATCCTCACTTTGGGCATGTGCGATCCGTTGAATCTATTCCTCTTTTCTTGTGCATGTAGAATTATGCATAAGGTTCAAAAGCAAAAAACAAAAAAAAAATGTTGGGAGATAGAGTACATAAGATGACCTTTGTGTAAGAACAGTGGTGTGGTTTCTCTAATTCACACATTTGCAATAATAATGCTAGGTTCTAACTTTGCTTTCAAAATTATATGCTGACTGCCAAATTATTGTTGTTGCCATCGTCGTCATCACCATCATTAGTAGGTTTGATTGCTTGACCGATTTGCTGGAAACTTGGGTGCTTCACAGTAGTGGCTGCATTTTCCATATCCATTTTAGTTAGTCGTTTGTGTGTTAGGGCTTGGCATGTCATATTTGGCGACTTTTATTTTTTTATTGTCTATGGATATCGTATATTTTGTTTTTTGGTGAAATATGAGCTATTTGAGAATATTGGGAGTATTTATTCCTTGCAGAAGTAAAATTCTTGCACAATTTAGTTGTCCCAGTAGTGATACACTAGTTCTTCTAGCTAGATTCTAATATGGTCAATTTTGCAATGGACCAAGTAGAATACTCATCTTGGTGTGAGAACAAGCCCTTGGATTTTTCCTTTATAATGTCAAGAATATAGTTAGTTACTTATATTTATCCGACAACTTTGAGATTAAAACATATTGATTTGTCCAACCAATTCTGTAAGAATGACATAGACTACTTCCTACAGCTGAAGTAGTGGAGTCTTTACATATTCCCAAGGATGTGAGACGGGTGTTGTTCAGAAACCTACATATTGCCAGGTAAACTTCTATTCCTAAGCATCCTTTTGTGGATCATGGTCAGCTGAACTAATGTGGGATTTCCAAATTGTTGGAAATCATGTCGCCCATGCATGTGCTATTGGAGTACTCACTGAGTATTTTAGTATACTGTGGTATTAGTGAGTGCTATGATCAGAAGGACAAATTTGATTTATGCTCTGTTTCATTCTCAAATGGCTTATGTACAAAAAAGAGTTCAACATGAGCCGTGTGGGATTCATGAAGGATGGAACAAAATGGTTGGTAGAGAACACAAAAATTAAACTCGGTAGGATTCGTACCTCTTTACTATTCTGACACAATCTTAGTGAGAAAGCTCTTTCTTTTTTTCTTTTTTTTTTTTGGTGTGTGTTTGGTGGTTTGCTTCATTGTCATCTTATCTTCACCTTTTACCAAGACTCACTGATTCATGGTACACTTCATGATGTTTCCTAATCGTTACCTGGGATCCATGTTAGGATACATTTCTTTGTGAGGTAGCTACCTTTTCTATTAGCTCAATTTTACCTGCACCTTCCCTACAAGCAAATGTTATTTTTCTTAGGCATGGCAAGAAATGCATACTTTCATTTTATTTGATTTTCCCCCTAACGACACAGAGTCAAAGTATGGTGCTGTAATAACTGTCAACATGAACACATTATATTTGGTTGATCTCTAAAGACACGCGTAAGAAAATACTCAAGCGTATGTTGCTATCAGGCATTTGAGCACTACGCAGGTTCATTTTTTCTAAACCTACCTCTAGAGAAATAGTGCAACTTGATCATCTAATTTCTTTTCTTGTTCTGCACCTTGTAGATTATTGCATGTCTGATATTGAGATGCATTCTTGCATGACGCAGTCTATGCTATTCAATGCATGAATTGACTACCTGTCTTTTTTTGCATATGATGAATTGATTCCATCCCATCTTATCTTCCTCGAAAGTGGGCAAGAGATTGATTGACGTGTGACAAATTTCCCCATCAAAGTTAAGAATGACCATGTTTCATTGTTGAATTGCCATCTCAGACCTAAACAAAAGTTGTTGATTTTGCCCAGATTTCACATCTTTTCATTCTCATAGAATGTCTAGGCTCAAGAAATGGACACTCCGGTAAAGCTGCAGGAAATTATTCTTGTTGAGGGCTTGAAACTCGAAAATGTACCCGCAAGAGTATGTACAGTCCATGTCTACCTTTGAATTGCTTGGTGCAAAAGGATCGCCTATAAGATGCATCCTCATCAAGTAACTTCGCCAAGTGAGTTCTGTTCTTTTTCAAGGGAAACAACTTGACAACGATGGTTGTATCTACGATCATCATTATCATCGTCACAAGAGATCGACTTGTCCCCGATTTGGTTACCATAGAGGTGTAAATTGAAGATTCATTTGTTGTTTTCGTGACTTTGCATGTGATGATGCAAGGTGCTTATGATATTTCTTCTGTTCCAGGGGAATAGAAGTTATCAAAAGTGCCGAGTAAGAAAGGCATTGCACGCACGGTCTCCTCAGAATTCAGATTTACTTCAAGGGGACACGTTTTGCAGAGAATGCGGAACTTTAGCCATCACTTGAATATGTAATATTACTATAGGCCAAGCAGAGCTATGGTTATTTTTACAAAAATAATGTTACGCTTTCAAAATAAGACTCGTCTGTAATGTTTCTCATGTTTCTTCTTTTCTATTACTAAAGAGCTGCTGGGTATTCGGTTCCTTTGAACATATACTTGACGAGGCCCACCAAAATTGGTTACCTTCACTAGCCCTGGAATTCTTGTTAGTTGCTTCATTGGCAATATTCTCAGGGGTTTCTTTTTGCATGGAAGACAATAATATACAATTTGTATAAGTGACATATACGTATTGTAAAATGTACAGTACATGGAAGAAATGGAATCCTTAAAACAGCAAATACGCGGACACTCTAAAAGGAACACTAAAATGCACTTTGCCCGACAAGAAGTACCCCTCTCGTTCTAGCATAGAGCGCAAACTTCATTCTTCCAATGAAAATTTATACAAGTCTTCCAAAATTGCAGTACCATAAGACGCGACCCCTTTTTTTAGGAAAGGAAAGCATCAGCTTGCTTCCAACAACGGGCAAAAATAGCATCAACAAGTCAGGACTTGCTCAATAAATAGGGTTCTTACATTCACCATCATTTAGCTCCATGTCGGGCGGCACACAACTCTCAACGGCTGTTTGAAGTTCCTCAAACCCAGGACCATGGTCGGCATTTTAAAGCTGCCAAGGAACCTGGGCTGGAGATTTACAGAGACTTGTGTAGAGAATAGAGCGCAAACTTCATTCTTCCAATGAAAATTTATACAAGTCTTCCAAAATTGCAGTACCATAAGACGCGACCCCTTTTTTTAGGAAAGGAAAGCATCAGCTTGCTTCCAACAACAGGCAAAAACAGCATCAACAAGTCAGGACTTGCTCAATAAATAGGGTTCTTACATTCACCATCATTTAGCTCCATGTCGGGAGGCACACAACTCTCAACGGCTGTTTGAAGTTCCTCAAACCCAGGACCATGGTCGGCATTTTAAAGCTGCCAAGGAACCTGGGCTGGAGATTTACAGAGACTTGTGTAGAGAATGTCTTAGGGTTGAATGCCAGATTGGGGGAGTGAAGTGTGCATCTGCTTCCCTGTCATCCAGTGCAATTACGGTAGTTAATCAGGCCAAAACTCTTAACAGATCCATATAAGCACGCTAGTGCTTTTGTTTATCTAATTGATTTCATGAATAGGGTGATGCAACATCATTAGCACATCCGTAAAGTTATATGAGAGTAATTAGGCATAAGCGGCAGTGGCATGGCAACATACTACCGTTGATTTACAACACTATCGCCAAAAGTTAGAAATTAATCACAAAGATCTAAACATTTGTACATCGCTAGGGCAATCAATGGAGCACAAAGTGAGTAAAAGGGAATTACTATTCATCCATCAAGAATAGCATCTGAAGGCATCTCTTCGCTAGAGCAATGTGTGACATTACACCTTCCAATACATTAAAAGAACGAACTTCCAGGTGCTTGGTACTCAAAGATATCAAAATGACATACCTTCCTCTTAGCAGGTACAGACAGATTCTTAGCTGGCTTAAAGAAGGATTCTAATCTATAGAAAATAAATGAAAGGAATCATTGGATAAAAAAGAGCATTTTGGAAGTCACTTTCATTTGTTCAAGCTTTAGTACCGGCCTTGTGATGACTTATCCTTAGCTGCCTTAATCGTCTCCATTGCCTGATACACATGGTAAAACAACATTGAAAACATGTATGCTCTCTCCTTCAGAGAAAAAGAAGCAACTTCCTCGAGTAGGCAACTAACCAACACATTACTGAAGATAGAAGTCATACCTTTGTCACTCTGTCAATGTTGAACCCATTCTCATTCACGAGAAAGGAAATTAATCCCTAGAACAATCAGTTAGGAAACAAGTCAAGAATTCAAAAAGTGAAATGTTGCAAGTAAATCCCAACATGAAAATGGCCCACCTCCTCGTTTAGATCAGTCCATTTTATCTCAAGTAATTCTTCAGTGGAAACTATTGGTTCCTTGAAAAGCAGTCGAACCTCTCTATAGGGCCAGTTATCTGGTACCTGATACCTATTCAAAAAACAAGCATAAATTTCGTTAAGATGGATAGCCAAAATGAATAAAGTCTTTCTAGTAATGCGAGGAACCTCTCTGTCTTAAGGATAAAGATACGATACAATTTTGTTCAAGTGAGAGTAAAGGAACAGACAAAGCAAACAACATGATAGATAAAAATTACATAGTAAATCAACACACGAAGTAGCATGGCTGATACACTGTTTGCCAGCCCAAATCTGCTGGTGGCAAATGATCTTTCAGTTTCAAATTGTTGATCAAATATTTCCGCGCCAGCTGAGTTTGAGAGATAATTCTTTTAAGTCAAGGAATCCAACAGCCAAGACTATTATGGAGAGAAACTTTGCTGCCTTATTTTGTTTACAAGTCGGGGGACAAGATAAGAAAATAAGAAGCACATTTGCTTGTTTATGTTCTCTAGTATGTTTTCTATGGAACCATGTTGACGGATGAGCTTAAGAGCAGTCAGCCCTCAATACCTGATAAATTCATTCCAAAGTAAAGCCACTGAAATCATCAAGCTAAAACATATGAGAGTGCAGAATGATATACGATAGAATAAAACAGTTAACAGTAGGCACTGCAATAATATCACGTCTACCTCGAATGCTTTCACAATAATCACATCCAGAGAGAATGCACAGGTCAATGAATTGATCCATATCCAGATTCATCTCCTCCAAGATCTAAAAGTCATGAAAGTGAGAAAAAAAAATTTAAGCTATTGCAATGAATGTACTTTTCTAAGTACCTTGGAAATTTCAAGTTCGATGACTGGAACTTTTCTTGAGCTGGGATCCATCAAATGACGAAGAAATCTAGGAGCTCCAAAAGTAAGGGTATCCATATCTTCAGAAGCAACTGCATAAACCTGAAAAACAAAAAAATACAGCTAAAGCACCATTCTTGATAGATGAATTCTGCTTTCCACACAACAGTTAAGCAATGATAGGAATTCGAATTCAGCGAAAATTCCTTGGACAAAGATGATTTAGAAAAGAACGTACCAAATGTAAATGACTACGCAGAAGAAGACATTAGACAAGTGAACAAGCATAAGTTTAGTGGATCCCATAAAAACTTCTTTCGAGGAAACAAGTGACTACACAGAAGAAGACATCAGACAAGTGAACAAGCACAAGTTCAGTGAACAAGGAAATTAAATCATGGAAATAAGATGGTAATTTACATAGAGTTAAACGATTGGTTATCATGGGAAAACAATGAACTATCCTAAATCAGAAGACGATCAAACAGGAAGATACTTGCCTTTCCAGCTTTGCAAAGTGCAGCACATTGTGTCTCTGCTTCTGAAGGAGCCTAACATACAAAAACTGAATTTGATATCTAAACTTTTTGGTAGAAATAAAAAAGAACAAACTTCTTAGACAGAATAGTAACCTCAACTAATGGGACACCCATAAGTCTCAATAGTCTTTTGCAATCTTCATTGTGCTGTTGTGTCACCTGCAATGGTATCAAAGCCCATGCATCACAAATGCACACTTATTCGGTTAGCTACATAGATAGGTTTTTTTTTCTGGAAAACAGAGACAACATCAAACTTCTCATCGAATAGAACTAAACTATTGCACTGTAAGGAAGTAATCAAAACAAAGATAAACCTTCACAGTTCTTTTACTGAATTTCTCTATGTCTTCCTTGTTCTGAGACTGCAGGCAATTAATACAGAGCTCTATAAGCCTTTTTGTACTCTATGTTTCTGTGTGCTTATGTGAATGTGCGTGAGAGAGGGAGAGAGAGAGATGCTTATACCGCAATGGCTACTGCCAACTCCTCAGAAGCATCTGCCCTCTTTGGAAAACTGCTCAGAGACTCAATTAAGGTAACTAAACGTATCCATAGATAATTCAAAGAAACAAGAGAAGAGAAGGCTACATAATAATAAAGTACCGTTGTGCAAGCTCTTGGTTCTACAAATCTGGAGGTTTACCATCAAATACGTAGCTATCGTAACGAACAGTAAAGCATAATTTAGATAAGCAGGAGCTTCATTCTTCCAGCATTTTAATGCCAATGAAAACAGAGGAGGTAATGAAAAAAGTTTACACCGGCTATATCCCCGCATCCAACAGCCTAATCGTCCGTTAAAGCCTGCCTTGCAGATGACTACACGAGAAGACAAATCACAAAGCATCATCACTTTCCAATCACAAAGACCACATCGCAAGTACAAAATAATGCGACACGCGTCGATCTCATACACATGAAACCCGAGTCCAAGCGATAACATCTGAAGCATCAAAACAGAAACTCGAGCAAAGTGGATTTTCATTTCCATGAAGTATTGCGATGCCAGAAGCAGTACCTGGTGACTTGACCAGCCTCATTGGTGAGCATCTGAGTCCCTTTCCTCCCAACCACAACCTGATCCACCAATCAAAGACCCAAAAAAAACCACCAACACTCAAAATCCAAATCCCCGCCGACACCGAAACGCACAATCAATCACAAACATCAATCCATAAAGAGCAAAGCACTTAACGAGGAACTGATAGATGCTCATGCTGGCATCCACGGCCCGAGTAGCTCTCCAGCTTCTGCTCCTTCATCGCCTTCGGGGCATTGTTCGCCAGTAGCTTCGTCAGCCCCTACCGAAATCAACGGGACGATTCGATTAACAGTCATATGGGAAATGATGGGATTGTAGAAGACGGAGGCTGAACTACCTTGATTCCCATTTTCGGAGAGAGAGGAAATTGCAGTGGAAATCGAGGATGCAATTGAAGCTCAGTCCTTTGGGATGAAATTGAATTCTAGGGTTCGAGCTGGAGACTAGAGCGTGTGGGTGCAGCGAGCGAGTGAACTCACGCGCAGGTGTCGCGAGTGGTTTTTGTAAGTACTAGTTATAAGGTTTTGGACATAAAACTTAAAAATTATTAATGAGGGTTAATATTTAAACAACTTTAAACAATAAATAAGCTGAAAATGTTATTATTGCGTAAACATCTCTAATAAATCATATTAGCGTAACCCTCTAAGTATATATTCAATGGAAAGCTGAGGCCTTGAGGATGCAAATCGTTAGTTACGTAACTGGTATTATGAATCCGCATAAATTGATTGTTCCGAAAAATCCCAAACTAAATTTTCCCTCCATTAATTTTCGTTAAATTGGATTAATATCACGAAAAATCACAAACTAATACAACATGTGACAAACGGAGGATAAAACACGAAACTAGTGCACTTGTCAACTGCTACGTGTTATCCAACAGAGGGCAAATTTAACACGAAACTTGCATTTTTTGTGGCATTAACCCTAAAAGAATTTAGTGTTGCACACCAAATTATAGTCCTTTTCAAATGAATGAATTATGGTAGGTTAAATATTTAAATTTGCTTTTGAAATTCACAAACGAAGAAAAGAGTAAGAAGTAGCTTTTTGATATTGAATAAATATTCAAAAATTGATGCAAAAAGATGAACTCTTAGGCTACGCATGGCAACCATTCTGTGCCCGGGAACAGAT